TCCATCAGTGCTATTTGTTCTTTTGTCTGCAGTGGAGAAGGCCACCATCCGGCCGGCGAAAAGCATGGACTCGCTGTGTTCAGTGCCTGCAGAAGGTAAGCTTTTACAATTCGTTGCTGGCCTGGCTTGAGGGACTGAAGCCCATATACAGAATATATATACACATATATGTAAATTTACATAAAATGTAAATATACATATGTATATATAGTCTGTTATGTCTGCTCATTTCCTCATGATCACGCTCAATGAACAAGTCCCCAACCCACCACCCTCTCCTAATTTATGTTAGAGTCAGCCCTAAAAGCAGTTTCCTGTCCTCTGGCCACAGTTAGAGAACATGGGTACTTGAGGTTCCAACGTGAACCGGGTAATGCTCAACATCTGAAACCGGAGGCAGAAGCGCTGCCCCCTTGGGGTATAAAGGAAGTACCAAGCTATACCTCACAGGCTCGTGTCTCTTGTCTAGAGGTTTGTGTGTCTTGGATCTGAAAGCTTCCATAGGCGTGACCTTGACAATGCTTGTGGCGTCGTGATTTGGGCTTGGTAGATTGATCCATTCCTTAGGAAACACAGATTGAGCACTAGCTATGTAAGGACCCGGAGCTTGAAAACGATGACAGTCTTGTTGGAAGAAAACACATGTACAGTTGCATTTGAGGCGACACCTGCCACCAAAAGGACAACCCACCGCATTGCCTGTGCCTTCCACTTCGATGTTTATTCTGCAGCCAGCGTGTATCCTTACAAGCTCGAGACAAAGGTCGTCCTTGACAGACTATTGAAACTCTCCCACAGTTATTCCAGGACTTTTTTATTTTTTAATCATCTTATTGTGGGCTTGTACAACTCTCATCGCAATCCATGTATACATCAATTGTATGAAGCACATTTGTGCATTCGTTACCCTCATCATTCTCAAAACATTTGCTTTCCACATAAGCCCCTAGCATCATCAGCTCCTCATTTTCCCCCTCTCTCCCCGCTACCACCTCCACCAGGAACTCTTGATGATTTATAAATGATTATTTTGTCCCATCTTACACCGTCAGACGTCTCCCTTCACCCACTTTTCTGTTGTCTGTCACCCAGGGAGGAGGTTATATGTAGATCCTTGTAATCGGTTCCCACTTTCGAACCCACCCTCCCTCCACCCTCCAAGTATCACCACTCTCACTACTGGTCCTGAAGGGATCATCTGCCCCGGATTCCCTGTGTTTCCACTTCCTTTCTGTACCAGTGTACATCCTCTGGTCTAGCCAGATTTGTAAGGTAGAATTGGGATCCTGATAGTGGGGAGGTTGGGGGGGTGGAGCATTTAGGAACTAGAGGAAAGTTGTGTGTTTCATCATTGTTGCACTGCACCCTAACTGGCTCCTCTCCTCCCTGAGACCCTTCAGTAAGGGGATATCCAGTTGCCTACAGATGGGCTTTGGTTCCCCACTCTGCACTCCCCCTCATTCACAATGATATGCTTTTTTTGTTATTTGATGCCTGATACCTCATCCCTTCAACACCTCATGATCACACAGGCTAATGTGCTTCTTCCATGTGTGCTTTGTTGCTTCTGAGCTAGTTGGGCCGCTTGTTTACCTTCAAGTCTTTAAAACCCTAGACACTATATCTTTTGATAGCCGGGCTCCATCAGCTTTCTTCACCACATTTGCTTAAGCACCCACTTTGTCTTCAGTGATTGTGTCGGGAAGGTGAGCATCATAGAATGCCAGTTTAATAGAACAAAGTATTCTTGCATTGAGGGAGTTCTTGAGTGGATGCCCAATGTCCATCTGTTACCTTAATACTAAACCTATAAATATATGCACATAGATAGATTTCTCCATCATCATATATAAATATATTTACATATGTACATGCCTGTATTTAGGTCTCTATATATGCCCTTTGCCTCCTACTTCTTTCCTCTTTCCTTTTACTTTCCTCTTGTCCCACTATCATGCTCCGTCTTCATTTGAGTTTCAGTAATTCCTCTGGGTTACATTGCCCTTGATCACTCCCTACCAGCCTCCCCACCCCTTCCTTTCCACTGGTTTTGAATCATTCCTTGTTCCCTTGTCCCTGGGTTGGTTAACACCACTTCCTTTCTCCCATCTCCCCCTCTCCCATTCCACCGCACCCCCCAACCATCAGTTCCATTGTTTTCTTCGCCACATTGTTTATCCAGCCTATCTTATCTAGATAGACTTGCAGAGATAATAATATGCACCTAAAAACAGGACAGTGCCAAACAAAATAACAGAAAAACAAAACGAGGATGACAGCAACAACAACAAAAAACATCAATGACAAAATCAAAAAGAGAAAAAAAAGAAAGAAAAGAAAAACCTGTAAATAGTTCAAGTTCTGTTTGTTGACTTTTAGGAGTATTTTCTGGTCAGGTCTGATGGGGTGCCACACCCTGGTTCTAAAGTCTTTTTTTAAAATTTTTGTAGTAGTTTTATTGGGGGCTCATACAACTCTTATCACTATCCATGCTTCCATCCATTGTGTCAAGCACATTTGTACATTTGTTGCCGTCATCATTCTCAAAACATTTGCTTTCTACTTGAGCCCTTGGTGTCAGCTCCTCATTTTCCCCTCCCTCCTTGCTCACTGCTCCCTCATGAATTCTTGATAATTTATAAATTATTATTTTCTCAGATCTTATACTGTCTGACGTCTCCCTTCACCCACTTTTCTGTTGTCGGTCCCCCAGGGAGGGAGTTATATGTAGATCCTTGTAATCAGTTTCCCCTTTCTACCCCACCTTCCCTCCACCCTCCCGGTATCGCCACTCTTACCACTGGTCCTGAAGGGATCATCTGTCCTGGATTCCCTGTGTTTCCAGTTCCTCTCTGTACCAGTGTACATCTTCTGGTCTAGCTGGATTTGTAAGGTAGAATTGGGATCATGATAGTGGCGGGGATGGGAGGGGGAGGATTTAAGAATTAGAGGAAAGTTGTGTGTTTCATCGATGCTACCCTGTACCCTGACTGGTGTGTCTCCTCCCCAAGACCCTTCTTTAAGGGGTGTCCAGTTGCCTACAGATGGGCTTTGGGTCTCCCCTCTACACACACCCTCATTGACAATGATAAGATTTTTTGTTCTTTGATGCCTGATACCTCATCCCTTCGACACCTCGTGGTCACACACGCTAGTGTGCTTCTTCCATGTGGGCTTTGTTGCTTCTTCCCTCTGGCTGCTTGTTTATCTTTAAGCCTTTAAGATGCCAGACGCTATATCTTTTGATAGCTGGGCACCATCAGCTTTCTTCACCACATTTGCTTATGCACACATTTGTCTTCAGTGATCCTATCAGGAATGTGGGCACACAATGATATGATTTTTTGTTCTTTGTTGCCTGATACCTGGTCCCTTCTACACCTCGTGGCCACACACAGGCTGGTGTGCTTCCTCCATGTGGGCCCAAAGTCTATTTTTGATACTCCCTCGGGACTTCCTAGTTCTGCTCCCCTTGCTATTCTCTTGCACGCCCTTGGTGTTTTCCTTGGTGTGGTGAGGTCAGATGTGTGATGTCGCATCTTGTAGTGAGGCCGGCCATATGGTCCTTTCTGTGCATTGGGTGCTCTGAGTGGGGCTATTGTCCTCAGGGCTTGGTGAGCCAGGGTTTGCTCTGCTCCCTTCCTCCCCCTTCATTTGCTTCCACTTCCATCTGTGTATGGTTTGTCAGTTCCTTTCCCCCACCAGAAATTCTATTGTCATTCTCTGTGGCACACCCTTCCATGGTGGGGGTCAGGCTGGGTCTGGTTGGGGACAGCCCGATAGTTAAGTCTTTTTATGGATTCCTCCACGTGTTATGTTGTCCTCCTGGTTTGGCGCTTCAAGGTGGGGTCTGTATGCACATTCCAATTCTGTGGGGACACAACCAATACTCTCCCCCTGGGTGGGTTAGTGCCCTGTTCCCCCCATGTCATCATCTCAGTTCTCCCCACCCCCCTTCTCCCTCCTCCTATCCTCTTTCCCCTTCTTTTTGTTGGACTCACATGCACCTCCCTGGGTGTGGTCTGATTCCCCCATTCCAGGACTTTCTAATGCTTTTAATTCAAGAGTCTTTTCTCTCTCATAAATGAAGCCATCTGAAACAATACAGAATATCTCTAAAGCAGCTTCTAAAAACAATGATTCCAAACTTTTAAGATCATCAGTGAGGTCTTTTTAAGCTGACTCGATACTTTTAACATTTCCTCTTATCTTTCTGGTCATCCATTTGCTTTGGTTTCAGAACCTTTGGCCCAGATTTTTCAGAATCTACCTAGCCCTTTCTGTGGGTAATGGGTCGGCCATGCAATCCCTCTGAGCCTAAATTTCCTCATGTGTTGAAAGAGGTGATTGATTACACATTCTTAGAAAATGGGTGTTAAGAATTAAAAATACTGCCAATACTATATAAAATGCCCAGCATAATACTTAGTGGAAAATTACATTCAGCTCCCTGGCAACTTGTCATCAACCAGCTTCTTTATTTCCCATGAGCACCTTTTCTTTGCCTTCACTTCTAAGGCAGTCAGGAACTCAATCCTCACAACAAAGTTTTCTAACCTTGAGTTAATTCACCCTTCAAGCCTCTCATCTTCTGAATCGACAGAAGGAGGCCTGGGGAAAGCGGGGTGGAGTGGCTCATCTAGCTGGTAATGGCTTTTGTTTCCTTGCTGAGAAGTCAAGCAGGAACTCTGGAGGCATAGTGGACTGTACATTGGACTGCTACTCTCAAGGTCAGCAGTTTGAAACCACCAGTTGCCCTGCAGAAAAAAGATGAGGTTTTCTGTTCCTGTTGAGTTACAGCTTGGGAAACCCATAAGGACTGTTCTGAAATGTCATATGGTGTCACTTGGAGTCAGAATCACTCTGTAGCAGTGACAGATTTGCTCTGGGTCCATCTACTAGAAAAGACTTAAAGTAAGATTCTGATGTTTTTTTTGTTTTTAACCCCCTCCATTTTAAATAAGCAATAAAATTTCCCATCTGCCTTTTTATGATATTCTGATATATATTGAATGCTTGACAAATGGCAGCTCTGCTAGGCCATTTCTTTTTGGAAACTGCTCTACTGCAAAGCTTAAAACTAGCCCCAACTGGTACAACAGTAAATGTTCTCCTCACGGCACCCTGCCCATGTGAAAACGCATCCTTTCTTGTCAACCCAGTGCTAGGTATCTGCATGTACTAGAATGAGGTGCCTGTGTTAAGAGTCTTTGGACAGGAACAGCTAAGCGCTGGATGACCAGTTTGAATCCACCCCCGAAGCCCCTCCAGGCAGGCCTGGTCTTGTAGAAACCCCTATGGAACAGTTAGACACAAGGGGTGGCCAAAGGGTGGGCATGTATGGCAAGTACCACCTCCCCCAGGACCGAACGTATTAGACGGCTCGCCTGCTTCCCCTCTCCCCACACCCAGACAGAAGGCTGGGTACATGTTGTGCACGCCCCGCTGCTGACTCCCTATTTGTTTTCCTCCTTCACGAGGGAAAGAAACCAAAGGAAATTTCAATCGAGCTGTTACCACTGGTGGATTTTTCATTCCCGCGTCCAAAATGCACCCGACGGGTTCCGGCAGCTCCTGCGACCTCAGCAAGCAGGAGGGTGACTGGGGCCCCGAAGGCATGCCCGCGGGGGCCGAGGGGGGCTTCGATGCGGGCGCGCAGGCCCGGGCCCCGCCCGAGCAGCTGAAGGTCTTCCGGCCCAGCGAGGATGCCGAGAACGAGCAGGCGGCCCCGAAGATGCTGGGCATGTTCTACACGTCCAGCGACAGCCCGAGCAGATCCGGGTTCGCCAGCAGCCTCTTCCACGTGGAGCCCTCGCCCCGCCACCAGCGCAAGGCGCTCAACATCTCCGAGCCCTTCGCCGTGTCCGTGCCGCTGCGCGTGTCGGCGGTCATCAGCAGCAACAGCACGCCCTGCCGCACGACCCCCAAGGAGCTGCCCTCGCTCTCCAGCCTGGAGGAGCTTGCTTTCCAGGGCTCTGAGGAGAAGCTCCCAGGAGCGGAGGCGTCTACAGGTACAGTGTCGGGCTGGGGTAAGGGTCGCTTTCCATCCCAAGACAGAAAAACCAGGCTGACATGGGCGGGGGGCACAGAGCCTGCAAGGCAGGGTGGTGAGCTGGTTAGTCGTGGCCTCTGGAGCCAGACTGTCTGATTGACATACCCAGGACTTGCCCTTTTTTTCCCCCCCCTGGGTAGCAGGATAGTTCTGTGCCTCCATTTTTAAATCTTGAAAATGTACATAATGATCCTAATCATTTTACCTTCTGCCGAAGTTTGCTACAGATTTTAGCGCGCCAGTCTTCCCAGAGCAGTTCCTAACACGTAGTTCTTGCTCAACCCTGGCCTATAGTGTCGCTGTGATATTCAATGCATATCAGTTCTTTTCTCCTCTCCTGTCCTGCAGGGTCACAGGAGAAGTGAGAACTCGAGGCACCAAGTAATGCCTTGTTTGGAGAATGGCCCATGGGCTGATGTGGACGGAGTAACATAGGCTAGGGAACCTTTTCTCTGCCAAGGACCATTTGGATATTGATCTCATCATTCTTGGGCCGTACTGGTCAAATGTTTAGTTAACTCACCCCTACAGTGATGGCTGGAACTGCTGGTGGTGCTGATTTCACGGACCTTGTGCAGACCTTGGGCCAGATGTTCCCTAGTGAAGCAGGATGAGGGAGAAAGTTGCCAGTTTTCGGGGAGGGGCGGGGGCACAAAGGCTTTTGTGAAATTGATTATCTTCTCCAAAAGAGGGTCCCTGGCACCACGGGACCTTTGGGAGATAGTCTATCACCTTTCCCCCCTTTCTCTGTAATTAAGAATGTTGTTATGTGCTGGTCAGTCAATTCCAACTCTCCCAGCCCTATCCAAACCAAACAGACTCGCTGTCACCAAGTCAATTTTGACTCATACGGAGCCTTGGTGGCCTAGTGGGTTATGAGTTGGACTGCTAACCACACGGTCAGCAGTTTGAAACCACCAGCTGCTCCACAGGAGAAAGATGAGGCTTTCTACTCCTGTAAAGAGTACAGTCTCAGAAACCCACAGGGGTGGTTCAACTCTGCCCTCCAGGGTCCCTGCGCGTCTGATATAACCCTATAGGGCAGAGTAAAACGGCACCCCAGGATTGCCACCCTGTTGCATCTTCACAGAATCCGACTGCCCCAGCCTTTTCCTACAAAGGAGCTGGTGGTAGGTGCAAACTGCCAACCTTTTGGTTAACAGCCCAACACTTAGCCCACTGCCCTACCTGGTCTGTATTACATTAGCCGGGTAAAGACACTAGTGGAGACTCTAGCCTACCTCTCTGGCTGTCATTAGTGTGGCTCTCAGGCCCGTTGAGGATCCTAGATCTAGGACCAAAGACTGGAGGGAGAGGCCAGAAGGCTCTGAAACAACAGTCCACCATAGCCTTCTCTCTGGAAGGTTTCTTCCTTTCTTTTCTTTTTTTTAAAGTTGCGAGCGGCTTTCTTGAGGCAGGGAAAGAACCCCCGGGAGGGAAGGGAGAGCAGAGAAGGACGGGGACATCTTGAGCCCCCACGTGGGTTCTGAAACCCAATGAGTTAGGTCAGGGAAATCGCCAGGGTTTCTTATTTTCTTCCAAAACTATTCATAATCCAGAACTTGACCTTCCTTCATAAAATCCTCTCTTTTTTCTTTCTTTTGTGCAGTAGCAGTGAGTAAAAGAAAAATAATTAAATTGTCCAGATTACCTTAGAATTTTCAGTCATTCTGGTCTGCATCCTCTTAGAAATTCTTCTTAGAAGAGGCTCAGCATTAACCATATCACTTTATGGAAACCTGAGAAATGACAATCCAGAGTACCCTAAAGAAATAGTTAAAGTCACCTCACTCGCTTGCTAAAGAACTTGCCGTAGACATCTTCTCAATAGTTACATTTTAATCCATCTGAAAGATGGTGCTACCTAAAAACTTGGTTTTGCCCTAAACAAATGTGTTTCCCCTAGAGTCCGTTCAAGAAACCCATGGTTCCGTGACTTAAAGTATAGGCTAAGCTGCTATAACCAAGGGAGCCCCAAAACACAATGACACAAGTAAGATACAAGTTGATTTGTATCCTGTAAGTCTAGAGGCAGGTGGTCCTCCTGCAGCCGACCATCCAGGTTCCGGCAGACCATCAGCCACCCCCAAGCGTACATTGTGTACATGGTCTACTTGGCACAACTCCACCACACCCACATTTCTGTCTTCGGGATGGGAACAGCAAGAGGAAGCCAGCCAAGTAGCTTCCCCCTGAGGGTGTGGCCCCGAAGTTGCTTATACCACTTTCAGCCCCATCCCACCTGCCAAAACCAACTCATGTGGCCGCATCTACCTTCCAGAGTGGCTGGGAAATGCTGTTGCCAGCTGGACAGCCATGTGCCCAGCTAGAGGAGACTATTGATAAATGGAGAAGAAGAGAGTGGATATACTGGGGGGAGGGCAAACAGTAGTCCCCACCTAGCAAGGTTTACCCCACTTGGTGCAGAACATCCCCCGGCTGGGAGCCTACCGATGCACTGCCCTTTAGTGCGGTCAAACTTCCGTAGTTTAGAAGTAGCTGCAAATCTGTCCGTCCACAGAAATGCATTAGCCTGATAGGCCCTACCTAATTTTTAAGAACAGGTACTGCCTTTGTCCTCAGAGTTTTACCTGGGAGTGGAAGCCACATCCCTTCAAAAAGAGAAACGATACACAGTTGACTTGGCAGCATATGCCTGGTCACGTAAGTGCTGCAGAAGACTGGGAGTTTGCCCAAAGAGAGCAAATCAGGGAAGGTGCCAAAGAGGAGGGATGGGTAGGTTTAGATTTTGGAGAATGGATGAGATTTGAATCTCAGGGAGGACCAGCGTCAAGGACGCAAAGCCAGAAGGTGCAGGTCCGCTAGAGTAGGTGCGGGCAGTCAGTGTCTGAACAGAGGCAGTTGGGTGCCAACAGAGAACTGAGTGACGCGCCAAGGCCATCCTCGAAGGTCCTCCTTCCACTCCTCACTTTAAAAATCTATCTGAGTGATCTGGTGTCGCTGTAACAGAAGTAGCATAAGTGAGTGGGTTTAACAAACAAGTTTCTTTGCTCACAGTTTAGGAAGCTATCACTCTGGATTCTGGGCACTGGCTCTAGTGGAAAGCCCTCTCTCTCTCTGCTCTGGGGAAAGTCCTGTGTAATCGATCTATCGCGAAGCACGTATCTTCCTCAGTTTGTGTCTGCTCGTTTGTTCAATCCACTCTTGTGCATCTCAAAAAAGATGGATGCAAAACACACCCTTCAGTCATACTGCCTCATTAGCATAACAAAAACTTCACACAGGTGTACTCACCACCATCAAGGTGATCCTATAGCAACCCTATATAGGACAGTAGAGCTGCCCCATAGGGTTTCCGAAATCTTTATGGGAGCTGACAGCCTCATACCCCCCCAGCCCCACCCCCTAAGCTCAGCAGCCCGCTGCTTAAGCCACTGTGCAGCAGGGCTCCTAACCACAGGTGTCGGCCTTAGGATTTACAACACATAGGAAGCCTGGTGGTATAGTGGTTACGAGTTAGGCTGTTAACTGCAAGGTCAACAGTTCAAAACCACCCACCAGCTGCTCCGAGGGAGAAAGATGGGGCTTTCTACTCTCTTGAAGAGTTAGAGTCTCAAAATTCACAGGGGAGTTCTGCCCTGCCCTATAGGGTCTCTGAGTCATCATCAACTTGAGGGCAGTGGGAATTGCTTTATCTTTGGGGACACAATTCAATCCATAGCAGAGTCCATCTTTTCATGGCCAGAGTCAGTGGTCAGCAGACCCTGAGCTCAACAGAGACATGAACATGTTCTCCCAGCTAAGACAGCCCCTAGGATGCTAAACCTGTTGTTCAAAATAACTGCTTCCGCTCCCTCGACCCGGATGTTTCATTTTCAAGACTTGATCTCAAAATTCCTGCCCAAGCACAAAAATGGCGTCAGAACACCACGGCTCTATTGAGAACAGCAGAACCAATAACGGAAGCGTCCCCTTTATGACATTGGTTGGCTGACTGTGGTATAGCCACACTATTGAGCCCTGTAGCTTGGAGGCCCTATCCCACAATGTCCTCGGTCCCAGGCACAAGCAGCGACAGTGTTTATGCATGCAGAGGCATCCCGTCCCAGGTGTATTTCTGGCTTCCTGGGGCCTTTTTCAGAAGGGAGGGTCTCACCCAGCCCTTGTTCGGGACAGCCCAGAAGCATGGCAAATGAACTGGGCAGCCCTCAACTCATAGGAGATGGGAATTGTGGATGACTCGTCTTCCTGTTCTTTGGGGGGAGGTGTGGTTCCCTCTGCCAGAGTAAGTGCGGTCACCGGCTGGACAACATACTCCATGCTGACTATTTCTCCATTGCCCTCTCCCCTGCCATTCTGCTTCCTGCTGCGAAGACCTTCTCTCAGGCTCTGCTTTGAAGGGAGCCCACACTAGGACATGCACTAACGCAGGCTCCCTCTCCCAGTGGTCATTGCTTGGTGCGGTGGTCATCCCAGTTCCACCAGGGGTGACTTTTAAGAATAGCATTCAGCGTTTTCACAGTTCTGGGGGCTCAACATCCCAATCACAGTCTCAGCTGGGTTGGTGCCTTCCTTGTGGGTATCCCTGGGCATTCCTGGGTTCTTCGGCTTGCAGACAGCTCTCACCAGGTGTCTGTCTTCCCCCCACGTATGCCTACTGCTCCTTTTCTAAAGCAGCCATGATTTGGTTTAGAAGCCACTATCCTTCAGGAAGAGCCCTGGGAATTGAGGCCAGCCACAGAGTCAGCAGCTGGAAACCACCAGCTGTCCCGCGGAAGACAGACGAGGCTCTCCTCTCGTACAGAGTCACAGTCTCAGAAACCCACGGGGGCCGTTCTACTCTGCCCTGTACAATCCCTGTGAATCCGAATGAACTCGATAGCAGTGAGTTTGGGGGGGCTTTTTGTTGTTGTTTGGTTGATTTTTATACTTAGGTAGGAGCCCCGGTGGGGTAGGTGTATAGTCTTAATTCGGTACTGGCAAAATAGCCTTGTACAATGAAATAGGACCTCCTTCATGGAAGACATTAGGAGCCAAACTTGAGATCAGCCCGCCCCTTCCCCTGTTTTGGCTGATGTTTAAGATTGGAACTTAATGATTTAAATAGATGCTCTGGGAACTGCAGACAGCCCAGGGGAGGGAGTCACCCAGGAAGCTGTCAGTCATGATTGGCATGCCTCTTTGCCCCATGGGGTGAGTAGTAGATCTCAGTGACTGTGGGCACCCAGCTTGATTTCTCAGGACCTCATTTCTTTCCTTACCTGTGAAGTGAATGTTTGCACTAGAGCAGGGCTTCTCAGCCTCAGAACAGTTGACATTTCCCATCAGAAGATCCTTGGTTGTGAGGGGTTGACCTGTGCATTGTAGGGTGTGTAGCAGCATCCCTGGCCTTGACTTAGTAGATGTCTGTAACACCACCCTTCTCTTCCCTCTCCCAAACATGACAGCCAAAAAATGTCTGGGACCATCGCCTAATATCCCATGGGTGGGGGTGGAGCGCTCCTGGGTGAGCACCACTGGGACAACAGAGATGATCCGTCCGCCCACTGACAGGTTGTGACTCTGGGGCCTGAGGCCAGGGCTTTGCTAGGGATCCCTCTCCATCCTGGCAGAGCCAGGCTTCTCCATGATAGTAACCGTGCTGGAAATGGTCTCTCTTGAAATGACGTCTCCTTCAACTGATGTCTCACATCCTCCTTGCAGCTTCTGCACCTAAGAAGGCAGCTCCCGAGGATGCCAAGCCGGCTCCGGAAGCAGTGGGAGCCATGGAGTGCAGCAAAAGCCTCTCCCAGGAGCCAGGCCTCCAGCTGGAGGAGAAGAGCCCCTCAGAAATTCCCCCAGGTGCTGAGCATTCCAGTGAATTCCAGAAGAGGCTGGATCCTGAGGAGGTGGTGGAGGCAGTTCGAGAGGCTGGCCACAGGGAGCCTCGTGCTCTGCAGGAGAGCCCCCGGCTCACGGCTGAGGCTGCATTTCTCCAGGAGATGGTAAGGGGGACTCACTGCTGGTCTGGCCAGGTACCTTGCGGTTTTTCCCAAGGGCTTTGGTACAGCTTAAAGTAGTTGTTTCTGGTAGTTTTAAAATCAAAATAGCTTCTGTCCAAGGGACTTGGGAGGCCACCTTCTCATCTGGCTTGAGCCTTTTGCTGTGGCGGTTTTCAGAGGTCCCACGGTGAGTGGGAAGGGACCATCCAGGACAGACCTGGCTGTAGCAATTTCTGATCTGAAGTCCCCAGCAACCAGCAACATGTCTTTGGACAGTCGTGGCATCCGATCTCAGAAGTGGCACAAAAACCTCCTTGTGAAATCCCAGTGTAAAACATAGTGACCTGTCATGGGGACCCCACCCTCTTCTTCCCGACATTCTGGATGGATGGTTGTCGGCACTGGTTTATAAAAACCTCCTGGGAGATCCCCAGGATCCACCTTTTCCCTCATGACTTCTGCAGACCTTAAAACCTGATGCCAAAAATTAACTAATTAATTGACTGATTAATTAACTAATTAATGAAAAAAAAAAAACGGATGCCAAAGCTCACCAAACCTCATCCCATTTTTCGAGGTAGATTTGTCCAAAAGATTTTCTGGGGTGTTCTTGGATAAGATGAAGATGTGGGGAGGTTTCCCAGAGCTGCTCAAGGAAGATCCCGCACCTGGGAGGCAGTTTTGTGATCCGGAGGAAAGTGCCGAAGGGGAATAGAGATCCCTTTGCCCAAGAAGTTACTTCCCAGAACTCCGTTTGCAGGGTCTGCACCAAGGGACCATGTGCTGGGAGTTAGGGCAGTACCAGGGTGCCATGGGACCTCAGGCGGGCTGAGGGAGGGTTCCCTAAGACAAATTTGTGTTTATTAAAAGACAGGTATGCAGATATTTTTATGGACATTGAATTCTGGGAAAGCCCAAGTAGTTGAAAGGTATTTCTCTGAGAAACGGGGTGTGTGCATGGGAACACGGAAAGACATGCAAGTTGTTCACTCATTTAAAAACACATGTAAACACCAACTTTGCTCATGCTGAGCACTGGCTGAAAACTGAATCACCGCAGCAAATAAGACGGCACTGACAGTTGAGTAGGAAAGAGTCATTAAGCAAGTAGGCTGACATAGAAGAGTCCTTGAGCGGTACAAATGGTTATGTGTTCGCCTACTAAGCAAAATGTTGGCCCAGTGGTGCCTCAGGAGAAAGGCCTGGTGATCTGCCCCTGAAAGGTCACAGCTTTGGACACACACACACCCTTTACTGTGGCACACATGGGTCTCCATGAGTGGGTATCATCTCTGTAGCTGGTTGGCTTTTGGTTGGTTGGTTGATTGGTTGATTTGGTTAGTTGGTTGGTTGATTTGGTTGGTTGGTTGGTTGGTTGGTTGATTTGGTTAATTGGTTGGTTGATTTGGTTGGTGGGTTGGTTGGTTGATTTGGTTGGTTCATGGGTTGGTTGGTTGATTTGGTTAGTTGGTTGGTTGATTTGGTTGGTTGGTGGGTTGATTTGGTTGGTTGGTTGGTTGGTTGGTTGAAGCCATGGAGTGAGTGCTTTGAGAACCTAGAAAAGGAGGAGCTAACTCAGTCAAAGGGAGGGGGGTGTCCCAAGGATTAAGAAAGGCTTCTCTCAAGAGTAACTGTTCTGGATGAGACCTTAGCAAGGAGGAAAGAGTGGCAGTAGGGTTGGAAGGGGGAGCCACTTGAGCAGAGGGTAAGGTGTTTCCTGAACCTGAGGTGGGAGCCACCCTGAAGCACCCAAGGAACAGGAACAAAGTCAGGACAGCTGGGCTGGTGCCCGCAGGGAGGAGGGAGGGAGCCACGTTAGGCAGGACTGCATGGGATGGAAAGGGGGCTTACCCTAAGGACCACAGAGAAGGCATTTCATCTTCAAAGATCACTCTGTTCTGGGAGGAGAATGGCTTAGAGAAAAGCAAGAGAGGCATCAGGGATGACAATGGGCCCAAAACTAAACTAAGCCCAAACCTGTTGATCTCAAGTAGATTCTGCCTCACAACAACCCTATAGGATCGAGTAGAACTATCTCATAGAGTTTCCAAGATGGCAGTCTTTGCAGAAGCAAGGTATCAGATCTTTCACTAGGGGACTGAAGGCTGCATTCAACTGTTGACCCATCATTCAATTAGCAGATTAGTGTAGGAACCACTGTGCCATCAAGGTTCCTGCCAATGGACCATATACACTGGCAGGAGCCAGTGTGGTAAACAAAACAAAACCCCAAGCCCCAGTGACTTGGACTAGACTGAGAGCAATGGGGATGCACACAGAAGGGCTTGAGGGTGACTCCGAAGGTAGAAACAGGGTTTGGTGAAGGAATGGATAAAGGAATGAGGAAGAAGGGAGGGTCAGGCCGGCCGCCTAGGGTTTAGACCTGAGAAAATACGTGCACTGAGGAGAGTGGAAAATGGCGTGGAGGTGTGTGGGGTACCAACCTGTACAATCGAATGGGTCCAAGGGGCAGTTGTGTAATTGAGGGGTAAAATTACAGAGACGTCAGACAAGAAAAAGCATGCAAGCAGTCACCTTTGGGACCGCCATAATTTCAGGAGCCAGAGAGAGAATCTATTTCCAACCAAGGCTTATATGCACTCCAGGGGTGTGCCAGTTCCTCTAATTACAGGTAACCACATGCGTAACAGGAAGGGGGTGTACAATAGGCATATGCATGACAGGAAGGCATATATGTAACAAGACAGGAGGGCTCTAGAGTCAAGATGGCAGCCTAACCTTGGTTGTCCCTGAATTGGCTTGACCTTGCGTGTTTTGGGGCTCTCCTTTGAAAAACAATCCATTATCCTTATCAGAAGGGAGTGGGACCTACCTAGGGTGGGACAGACAATAGGGCCTGATTGCCTTAGATGGTTGACAACCTTCAGGCAATAACCTTTAAGCAGTTGACCTACAAGTGTATAGTCAGTGACCATGTGTTTGCAAACAGCACCTTCAGTTTGGCGTATATTATGGGGGGACAACCTGGGGAATAACTTTTCTGTTTCCCACAGAGGTAAGTTTATCTGTTGGTTTACTCATCTAAATGTTCTTCTTACTACTGAGTTTTTTCTTAGTATTGACTTCTTAGTAAGAGATCAAGAAATGAGTCAAAGACTTCCCCGGCCCTGATGGTGGGCACAGACTAGTAGGCCAAGTAGCAATGAACAAAAATAAATACAGCACAGTAGAATCAGATCTCAAAAAGAGCCCTGCCTTTTCACCAAGGAAATCTCACTACAACTCACTACCATCAATCAATCTGATGCTGTCTCATAGAGACCCTGTAGGACAGAGTAGAACTTCCCCTGTAAGCTTCAGGGAGTCTAACTGTTTATGGGAGTAGAAAGTCCCACGGGGCAGCTTCTGGTTTGGAACTGCCAACCTTGAGGATGTCAACTCAACTCATAACCATTATGCCACCAAGCCTCCTAAGGAATCCTACTCCTAGAGATGTACCCAAAGCAAGAATTTCAAAAGAGCCATTAATCAATTTCAATGAAACAGTCCTCCTCCCCCTCTTTTATTTTCCCCCCAAAACCATTTTATAGAGAGCTCTTAGAGTAATCAGATCATTCCATGGTTCAGCCACATTGCGCACTATTGTACAATTGCTACTATAATCAGTTTCAAAACATTTTCTTCTTTCTTGAACTCCTTGATATTATCTCCCCTTTACAGCACCCCCCCACCTCCACCCTACCCCCCAGGAACCCTTATACTACTCATTGTCTCTAAAGGTTCATCAATCCTGGGCAAAAGGCCCTTTCTTCAGCAACTACTTACAGTGTACCCGACACCATTTGACCCTGAAGAATCAAAGATGAATAAAACACAATTCTTAACCTCAAGGAGCGTAGCCAGGTGGGAAAGATAAGATCCGCATAAAGAACTTTAACTGAAGCCATGTGTGGTTAGAGAAACCGAGAAACCAGTGCAGGGAAGACTTCTCCGAAACCCACACCCCACAGGGTTGACCAGCTTCCCTGAACTGTGTCTCCTTGCAAGACTAGACCATGAGCAGGAAGTCAGTGAGACTGCAATGTGTGTCCCTGGTCCAGCCCAGGCCCCCTCTCCAGCTATTTGTTACCTGCAGCTTTGGGCTTGGTGTAGCAAGAGGGAAGAGTCCAGAGAAGAAAGAGAATCTGAACTGCTGATGAGAGGTGGGGACACACAGACAGAAGACCAGATGGAGGAAGATGAGGTGGTTCAATAACTGCAGAAAAGAGAAGCCCATCATGTGAACCCTAGCTATCTGAGGGTACCAGCAATGTAATAGTTTGCTATTTTTGTATTCTCTTTATATTTTATCTATATTTACATTTTTCTCCCACACAGAATGTATATTTCTTTGGTAATCAGGGGAGAAAAAAAACATACGAGGGGGTACCCCAAGAAAATGGAGTGGTGCTGGGTGGAACAGAGCATTCATATGTAGTACGAATTTTTCGCACGAGGCTAGCATTGAGCAACTCACTCTGAGTTAGTGCACCCAGTGGCGTCGCCTGGGAAGGTTCACGTTGATCACAGTGAGTTTTCCTAAAAGCAGTTTCACTCGAACCTTGTTTTTTGTGATGGCCGATTTAAGAGAACAGTGTATGGCTATGAAATTTCCTTTCTTGCTGTAGGGGGTGGGATGCCACAGAAACTGTTGTGATGTTGAACACAGCTTACAAGGACAGCACTATGGGAAAAACTCAAGTGTACAAGTGGTTTTCTCGTTTCAAAAAAGGTGAAATGTCGATTGTTGACAAACCTCATTCTGGACATCTGTCAACTTCCTGAATGGATTTGTAGTGCATTTGGAGTTCTTTACACAGGGTCAGACTGTTAATCAAGCTTTCTATTTAGAGGTTCTTAAAAGATTGCAGAACATTGTGAGACAAAAAAGGCCTGATTTGTGGAAGATGGGGGACTGGTTTTGCCACCATAACAATGCACCTGCTCACACAGCCATCTCAGTGCACCCGTTTTTGGCAAAACAACAGCATGCCACTCTTGCCCCTGTCACCTTACTCACCCGACCTTGCTCCGTGCAACTTCTTGTTTCGACAAATGAAGAGTGACATGGAAGGACAGCAATTTGACAACAAAGGAGAGGTGAAGAAAAAACGAGGGAGGTGCTGTCAGCCATCCAATCAGATGAGTTTGAAAGTGTTTCCAAGAATGGCATCGCCTATTTGAGAAATGCATCAAGTGTCTTAGCAAGTACCTTGAAGTTGATAAGGTTGTTTTGTAAAAAAAATTAAATGCATAGCTTTGCGGGGGGGAAAACCCATTGTTGTGGGGGAGGGAATCCCCTCATATTTACCTGGAAAGCAAATGTTAGGATAACAATTCAATTTTCAGTCCACTTACTCTTTTGTGGCTTCACGTAAACCTGAGGTAAAATGAAAAAGGAGACCAGAGAGCTCGCCGATTTTGTGTGGTCACAGTGTCCAGGGACTGTGCGTTCATGATCTGGTGTAGGCAGAGCCGCAGCCTGGTCTCTAGTCCTGTGCAACTTAAGTAAGTGGTTTCATCCACTTGAACATGGGTCTCTTCATCTGTAAAATGGGAGTGATGATTTCCAACCCAGCCCACTGTCTTCAAGTCAGTTCTGACCCATAGCGACCCTTTAGGATAGAATGCAAATGCCTCTTGGGGTTCCCAAGATTAGCAGCCCAATGTCAACCCCCCTGTCACCTGGGCTCCCTTGGGAGCAACTCAGAGTATTTATTTCCTAAGTTGTTGTGAAAACTAAACAAGAACATATATTTAATGTGTTTTGTAGCACATGAGGTAGCACTCAAGAATTTCTGGGTAGGTGCCAATTCTCAGCTCCTAACCAAACAGAATCCACACAGGAGTGCTGTGTTAATCCGGGTACACTAGAGAAACAAATTCATAGACACTCTTATGTATATATGAAAGAGCTTTATATAAAGAGTAATTGTATATTAAGAAAACATCCCAGCCCAGTCCAGATCAAGTCCACATTTCCAATATTAGCCCATATGTCCGATACCAGTCTAAATTCCTCTTCAGACTCAACACAACACATGCAATGATGCTGAGTGCAGGAAGATCACAGGCCAGTGAGTGGAAAGTCTTGTGGATCCAGTGGCAGTAGAAGCATCTTAGCGCTGGTGTGGCTCTCCACGTGGCTCCTCCAGCTCCAGGGCTCTGGCTCTACCAGTGCAGCTCCATGTGGCTTGTCAACAGGAATGTGTCCCAGGGAGGGAGCGAGTGTCCTGACTCCAGAGAGCTATTATCTCCTTACTGCCTCCAAATGATGTCATCAAGCTGGGACCTGATTGACAGGCTACATACCACCCCTTCACTCTTAATAGTCTCAAATCAACACCAGATTATGTAACTACCATAGCTGCTTTGGAAGAAAGGGCCGGTGGTCATCTGAAAAAACAGCCAATGAAAACCCTGAGGAGCACAGTTCTGCTCTGACACACACAGAATCAACTCCATGCCAATTGATTGCTTTTATTTCCTGTAAGCACTCAATCGGTATCTGCAGCCCTTAGTAAAGATGCATCCTTTATTTGCTGAGGCAGCATGGCCCGGCACTGCTCCAGCCCTTCCGCTCTCCCTGGGAGACAGTGTGGCTAGCAAGGGTGAGAGCTTTTAGTGCTAAACTAATCGGTTTCTTGATGTTTTTCAGGATGAAGATGATCAAGCCAATGCCCTCATCTGGCCGGAGATTCAACAAGAGCTGAAAATCATTGAATCTGAGGAGGAGCTCTCTTCGCCGCCTCCACCAAGGTCACTTCCAAAGAACAGCCCAACCCTGCCTATCCCTGAGTCAAGTCCAGAGCCCTCGGCTTCCCCAGAGGCTCCTCGGAGCTCCGCCCCAGTCCCCGCCCCCCTGGAAGAGCGAGCCAATCCTAGCACGCTGGCGGCTTCATCTGCAGCCCGTGGGGAGGAGCCTGTGCCAACCAGCAGCCTCCGTGGGAGCCAGCGCCCTGACCCCGCCAGCCCGTGTCCCCTGCAGATAGTGGCCTTGGACGAGGGGAGCGCCCCCGGGAAGCCGCCGTCTCTGCCGCTCCAGCCTGCTCCTCCCCCTCCAACTTCCCTCGAGGAGGCCCCTGGACCCTTGCCGACCAAGGGCAGCCCTGAAAGAGCTGACCCAGCCAGAGATTTGAGGACAAATCCCTGTGGAGACCAATTGACGTCCCAAGGCGATTTTCGTCCGGGAGAGGCGTCTAACCCTGGACCGGGGGGAAAGCCGAACCCGCAGACTGCTGCCCTGCAGGTCAAGGACCCTGGTGTTGCAAGCCCACTATGGGAGGTCGAGATCCCCCCGCTCGGAGAGGGGGAAGTAGCCAATTCTACACAGGAGCCCTCAGACTGTGATGAAGATGACGCCGCGACAGCCGTTGCCCCGCATGGCCTGGAGATGGTGGAGCCCTGGGAGGAGCCCCAGTGGGTGACGAGTCCCCTCCACTCCCCCACCCTCAAGGATGTACAAGGGACCCAGGGGCAGGGCCTCCAGGGTCTCCGGTTGGAGAAGCGACTTTCCCACAGGCCCAGCCTCCGCCAGAGCCATTCGCTTGACAGCAAGACGACCACCAATCGGAGCTCGTGGACGCTCGATGGCCTCTCCAGCAGCTGTGCTAACCTCGACTCCGAGAAGAGTTGCGACCCTCTGCCACCGCCGACCTCCAGGAGAGGGATGCTGTTGGCAGGCTGGGAAGAGAAAGCCCCAAGGTCATTTAGAGAGTTCTCTGGCCTGCAGGAGACAGAGGCCCTTCCCAGCCAGAAGGGACAGGGCGACATGCAGCCCAAACCAACAGAAACGAGCCCTGTAAATCTCGCAGAGGGAAAGGAGATGGCGGCTGAGGTGGGTCACGACCAGCTGCAGTCTGAGCGAGGAGGCAGCGTTCCTGGGGGAGAGAGCACTGAGCATGGCTCGCCCGGCCACGTGCAGGACAGTGCCTCGCCCAGAGAACACCCCCGGAAGGCACAGCCGAAGGGCACCGAGTGTGGGCCCCCCAAAGGGAAACATAGGCCTTCTTCCCTCAACTTGGACGCTTCGGTTCCTATCACTGACCTCTTCCGGTTTGAGAATGCAGCCTCATTTGGTTCTCCTGGAATGCAGTTCTCTGAGCCCGGAGACTCAAAGGCCCCACAGATGACCTCATCCCACTCGAATGCAGACCCATGGATGGTCCACTCCCAAGATGCCCAAGATCTGGACATTGTTGCTCACACCCTCATGGGTCGCCGCAACTCGGCTCCTGTGAGTGTATCAGCTGTGAGAACCTCCTTCATGGTCAAAATGTGCCAGGCCAGGGCAGTCCCCGTCATCCCACCCAAGGTTCAGTACACACAGATTCCACAGCCGCTGCCCGCGCAGGGCTCAGGGGAGGGAGCAGCTCAGCCCCGGGAGAAGAGCCCAGAGGAGCCTAGCTCAGTGGGTGGGACCTCTCAGAAATCTGCCAAAGATGATTCTCCCCTCTCCTCTGCAAGTCCGACGGGAGAGAAACCAAAGCAAGACGTAGGAGACATCGAGTTGTCACAAGTGGGTGCTACTACTGCATCCGGCCTGGGTGAAGGACCCACCCTTTCTCCAGAAGCAGGCTCATCTAACAGCCTCTCCACCCAGGACGCGGTAGTGCAGTGCAGAAAGCGAACATCAGAGACCGAGCCACCTGGGGACAATCTCCTCTCTTCAAAAATAGAGCGACCATCCGGGGGTTCTAAGCCTTTCCACAGGGCACGGCCTGGAAGACCCCAGAGCCTGATCTTATTCAGTCCTCCCTTCCCTATTATGGACCACCCTCCTCCCTCATCAGCAGGGACCGATTCCAGGGTCTTGCTGTCCCCTATCAGAAGTCCCATCCAGGCCGTTTCCCCCGGCCTCCTTTGTGGGGAGTTGGCAGAAAACACATGGGTGACACCAGAAGGGGTGACACTTAGGAATAAAATGACCATACCTAAGAATGGCCAGAGACTAGAGACTTCCACCAGCTGTTTTTACCAGCCCCAGCGGAGATCGGTGATTCTGGACGGAAGAAGTGGGAGACAGATCGAATGACATCCGCTTAAGGGCCAGTGTCAGGACAATGCCATGATTCTTCTGGAAGTTACTGCCGGGCCAGCATGCTGTCGTCCAGGCACAGGTTATCCGGGTTGGAGATCATTTTCACCTCGAGTTTCTCTTCCTTTCCTTCTTTTGGCCATTTTATTAATGACAGTTCATTTTCCAGGAAAGCCATCAGGGGACGGACCAAGAGATGAGATTCAGATAAGTCCATAAGAGGAAGGCGCGGGGTGGGAAATCACACAAGAAGAGGTTGAAATGCTTGTCTCCGGTGACTTTTGGAGCTTGTCTGTGACGGTGGTACTGCCGCGAGCTGGTGGTGGTGCTGTCCTGTGAGAGAGACAAGAAATCCTTAGCTGGAGTTGGAAAGGTTGCTGCTGGGGTGTCGAGGTCTCCTCTGTAGTTCATGCTTTCTAATGCTCCTTAAAGCCTGGGTTCTTTCAGACCAGCTTTCTAACAAGCTTTTAGAAGTGTACTCTCCAGAATAGAAGCAGAGTGGAAATGCGAACTAACCTGCATTTAGATACCCAAGTGGCTGAATGGACCCCTGCTGGTTCCCTGGCATTTCTGCACACCTGGCCCAAGATGGCTCCAGATGCCAGCATCGAAACTCAGAAAAGTCTATGTTCAAGAGCCAACTAACTGAGAGACTGGCACAATCCCAGAGGACTCTTAGCTTTCATCACTGTGTGACCGTCACTGTACTGACCTCAGATTTGTACATCCATTTAGCTGGGCAGGGTGGGGATGGAGCTGAAGGTGACATCCAGGGACTGTGCTGGCTTTTCAAGCAGTGTGCAAAAGCCAAGTGACGTGATCTGCTTCCTTTCCAACACTGAGAGTCCAAAAACAGGATCATTAGAGAAAGAAAGCCCCACACATAAGCAAAACTGCGCTCCACACTGCATGTGTTTTCAACAGTGGTGCCTTAACAGAAACCACCTCGCCTGGCTCAGCCTGGCTCTAGGTGTGCACCAGGAATACCAGAGAGGAGGAAGGGGAGGGGGGGCGGGACAGGAGGAAAGGGAGGACCTCGAGGCCAGTGGCCATTACTACCACTGATGAGAGTTGCCCTTCTTAAAAACATGTTTCATTGTAGACAGCGAGCCCCTTCCTTTCTCTTCCTCCATTGCTCAGAAGCAGTGGCACACTCCTTTCCTCTAAACTCCCGCCCTCCCCAGGCCTCAAACGTGCTCTTCTCTGTCCATGTATCAGCAGAAACAATAAACCAATTTGATTTCCTGCTAGTTACTTAGAATGTCCAGTGCTCCTTTTTCTCCCCCCTCCCCCCCAGCTGGAGAGAACTAATGTAACATGCTCGCAGTGCTGTGCCGCTCCCCTAAAAGGGCTTCATGAGAACCCTTCTCGGAGTCCATCAGTACATCAGCCCATGTGGCCTTCTGTTTGAAAAAAGGAAGGAAAAGAGGACCTATTCTTACCTGTCCACCCCTTCAGAGCTGCAGGACTGACTGAATTGTCCCAAAGCTTCGTCGTTGCAGACACTGTCTCGAAGGGCTAGCAACACTTCGAGGCAGCCCCCTCAGTCAGGACTGGTGTGGGGCAAAGCGAGACTGACCTTCAGGTACCTCCTCTAGATCTGCCACCAATGATAGTCCTTTCTCTCTTCTTTCCCCGATGAGCCTTCCAGACAGTTTTTAAATTGTCCACCTTCTAAGCCGGTGTCTGTGGCGGGCTGGTAAGGAGTGTCGGGTAAACTGAGGCAGTCTGCTTTCAGAGGGCACGGAGAAGATAGCACGAGGAGCAGCGTGTAGGCCCTTGGCCAGGGGATGTGCATTCTCCTTGGATGAGTAAGACTTCGGATCAGCCAGTGAGGTGTCAACGGCACTCTAAGGAAAATCCTACCACCTAGTCAAGCAAGTGGGAGAAACAGAGCAGTGTTAGATGAGAAAGGCCATGTGCACGCAATAGAAGAGCACATTCCTGCTTTATCACACAATTTGGCAGTCGGGTGCGTGGGCCACCTCAGGACACTTCAATGGTGTCTGCCTTGATAAAAGACCATGTTCTGGTCTGAATGTGAGAAAGAGGGGACCACCCTTTGCTTCGCCACCAGAATTGAGCCAAGGGATGCAATATTTTAAACCATTTTGTGATCGTTTAAACTTCTTGCCTGTAATATTTCTAGAATATATTCTTATTCCGGCATAGACCGGGAAGCTACTGTTTACATATTAACAGATCTAAGGGCTGAGGCACCTATGCAGATTTATAAACTGGCTGTCGTGTCGTGTTCCTTTAGACTCCGTCGCCTTTCATTTACAGAGCCTTCAGGAGTGCGGGGGTGTGGATGTCACTGTGGGACCCAGTCATCCTGTCACCACGAGCCACGATGGAGGCTGTCTGGAGATAGCCTCTCTTCCGTTTTCCCAGCCAGTCAGTTCCTCTAGGCCTTGGAAGCTGGCTCTCCTTTAGTTAGTGTTGTGCTAGGAAACCTGGACCTTCTCCTTAGACTCCCTCCCAGCCTGCCAACTGCCACAAAATACCATCAACTTCCTCTGGGCCAGCCTTGTGCACATGAAGTTCTAGTCCATGGTAAAGAACACCCACCCACTGCACCCCCAACAATAACAACCACACGCACACACACGCACTTTTCCCTTCAAAATGTCCTGGTCTCGCTTGATTATTCATCCAGTGGGGGCTCCCGGAGGATGGTGGGATGGGAAGGAATCGGAGCTTGTCTTCAACCATTCGCGGGAAGGACAGAACAGGTGTCGTTTTTCTGAGAATCAACCTGGTGCCTTTGAAAGGACCACAGAGGCAAACTCTCCAAGAACTCCTTCAAAGCAGCCGTCAGACCGTGGTGGCTGATTTTCAAGGTTGAATTGGAAGTGGAATTAATCCCTATACCAATGTTTCCTTTCAGTGTTAGCGGTTGCTTACGAAGACAATCAGATATATTTGCAAAATGGACCTCCCAGGCCACTTTTTGTTTTTTTGCCAAAATGTGGCTAGATAAAATCGGATTTTTACTGTTTTATTCTTGGCTTTACTTGGCCAAATGAAGAGACCCGGCCTCATACCCCTCTAAGGCGCGGCCTAACAAGAGCCCTAAAATTCCAAATACTGTCCAGATCTGAATTCTGGGATCATTACAAACTTAATCACCATCCTCAACAAGTAATATTTATCAAGTGGCGAGTAAGCGTACACCGAGGACTTTGTAGCTTCTAGATCCTTCGGATTTTATGAGCATGAAGTGAGGGGCAGGGTAGCAAATAAAACATCCCATTAAGCAACCAGCGACATGATTTAGAATCATTCAGAAGAACCAAATGAGAGAGAAAGGGGGAAGCTTAGCCACTAGCATCATTTAAAATAAACGTTACAGTGCTCAAGGGGCTGACTGGCTGTAGAGAACCAAATTAAACCCAACTGCAAATTGAATAGCCCGTCCCAGTAAGCGCTGAGAATGTTTGCTCTGATCTTACCTAAGTGGATACCAGGAGTGTATCTTCCGACACCTTGCACAGGCCTAGCTTGGTTTGTCAAGTCCTGCAGGATCACTGCTAACGAGCCTGGTAAGATCACTGTTCCATAGCCCCGGGTAGAGGAAGATCTAATGGGTTCCACTGCTTTTGAAGACAAAGTCTTGGGTCCCAGAGCAGCTGTGGTTTTTCATGTCTAGTATTCCGCACAAAAGGATTACATCTGAAAGAAATGTATGGTACAGTTCTTTGTCTACACAGGCCTTGGATTCTTGCCTAAACGGGTGTTGGAGAACAGAAGGATTTCTCAGGCTGAATGAAGTAGAAGTTTCCAATAGTTTCCAGGACCCAGAGGATTAATGGGGTCTCTGTTCTAACACGGCCACTGCTATCTTCTAACAACATAAGTCTTGGGGTTAAGTGTTACCAGGAGGAGGATTTTAAGCGTTTCCACCTCAGAGGAAACTTCAGCTCAAAATGGCAAAAAAATAAAAATTTTTTTAATGTGTGACCTCTTAATAAGCCTTTATTAGCAGTTTTAGGGCCCGAAGGAGCAGACTTCTTTCTAAGCAAGGGGAGGGAATGGTAGGAGGGTTATTGCCTGAGATCAGTGCCACCCTACATATTTTTAAATTGGGGGCCACAGCAAATAATGTAAGGAAGACCGCACACAGTTTCGTTAATAACCTTCAGGTTCACGAACAGTGCAGGTATTCTCGAGAGTGAACGAGGTGTAAGCCAGACCTCAGAAGCCTATGAAGTATCGCGCCATGCATTTTACTGGATGAATAAAATGCTTTGCAATATTCCAGTGCTGTTGTCCTTCCTGGCTTCTCCACCTCCTTTCTTCAAAGGAGTCTATTAGACATTTGTTGAGCTCCTCAAATATATTTCCAAAGCATTAACCAGTGTTTCTCTGTTGATTAAAAAAGGATGAATAAATATTAAGCATATCCATAAAGACAAATAAATGTAATTGCAACAGACCTGTGTTTTAAAATTTAAGAAATGATACAGAACATAATGGCTAATGAAAGCATGGGCTAGAAGAGCTACAGCCATGCAGTCGATGCAGCTTTTTCTTTTCTTTTATTCTATAACATTTATTTCAAGGTTTCAGAGTAACATGATTTATTTAAAAATTACATAGTAACTAATAGTAAAATTATACAATAGCATATATTAAAATGGCAAATTGCCATTTTAATATATGCTATTGTATAATTTTTAAATGGCTAATTGCCATTTTAATACATTTTAACTTTCTAATGGGAAAACAATCATGTAGTGCACTTTTTATTTTAATCATTTTATTAGGGGCTCATACAACTCTTATCACAATCCATACATACATCAATTGTGTCAAGCACATTTGTACATTCATTGCCCTCGTCATTCTTAAAATATTTGCCCCTGGCATCAGCTCCTCATTTTTCCCCTCCCTCCCCGCTCCCCCCTCCCTTATGAACCCTTGATAATTGATACATTAATATTTTGTCATATCTTGCCCTGTCTTGACGGAAGTAGAGGTCTCGTCTTTCTCCCAGAAGAGGTTTCGGGCTCAGCAAAATCAGCACCAGCAAAGTGGACGGTTCAGGACACACTCCCCGATCCAGTTTGATCTTTCCCTCCAGCCCTTTCTAAATAAAGGGTTCCTTGGGGGCTTTGGGTCCATTGTCACTGGGACTAGGGTTTGAGGCAAGAGCTGGACCAGATCATGGGACGGGAGTCGGTTGCGTTGTGGTTTTCCTTTTCGTTTTAAATTGGGATGGTGGACAATGAACCACGAAATGACCGAGCTGGAGATCATGTAGCCCGGCTCCCTAATGGCACAGTAGCTGAGGGGCTATGCAGCAGGCATGAAGTCCACGTGCCTCTTGGGCAGCAGAATCTCACATTAAACATCAGGCATTCATAACAGCCTGGCTTAAATGGACACCAACTTCAGTAATTCACAAAACCCTTATTCTATACTGCTTTCCACCCTCCCATTCAGTTATTACCTGTTACCTCTCTGCTCATGTATCCTATAACTTACATGTATACATATTTTAATTTACCAAGCAAAAATATCTAAAACTGGCCCTTATACTTACTCATGCCTTGAATGGAGATATTTTTCTATGCACAATTTTACATTTCTGTCTAAGATCCTCTCCTCTCTAGCTGAAGGATTCCCTTTAATATTCCTTGTATAGCCAGTCTGGTCGGAATGAAGTCCCTCAGCTTTTGTTTATCTGAGAATGTTCTGATGTTGCTCCTACTCTTGAAGAGCAATTTCGCCAGACAGAATTCTTAGCTTTGTTTTCTTTCAGCACATTAAATATGTCATCTCGCTGCCTTTAGCCTTCAGTGTCTAAGGAGAAACCAGTACTTATTTTATTGGGAATCTTTCATCAGTGGCAATTCACATAGGAGTACAGGCTTCTAGTTCACACATGCACGGGTTTATTCAGAACAAAAGGCATGTAAGCATGTCTTTGTGATCAGGGGATGGCTGGAGAGAATCTCTCAGTAATACACTTGTCTTAGACTCATTAAAGAGC